TCTAGGTCTGTTTTACACCCTCCCAAATTTTCAAAATGATCGGAAACTTGACAGGCGAGTTCCGGACTCCTGAAAATGACCAAAAATCAGTTGAAAAAATAGGAAAAATCCGAAAATTTTTTACAAAATTTCGAAAATCTGAAATGTTACGAAATCTCAATTTTTACAGAATGACGAAAATTTTTAAAAGATCTCAAATTTTTAAAGTGATTGAAATTTTACAAAATTTTGAGAAATTTGAAAATTTTTCGATTGTTCAAAAATTTCCAAAAATTTGTAAAAATCCGCCTGTTTTTGAATTTTCATAAAATTTCAGATATCTCAAAAATTGTGCCAAATTGGTTTTTTTCAGATAAAAAGCCAATTTGTTGGATTTTCACCAAAAAATTTTTCCGGCTTGTCTGGCTTTGGTCGAAATTTTTCGCGATTTTCGAAATTTCGGAAAGTTTTAATATATCTTATTGACTGTTACTGTATCCCATCGTTCGGCCGCCCCAGCTTGTGCCACCATAGCTCAGCTGGTAGCGTCGCGGTACCCCCAGCGGTGGACCCACAAGTTCAATTCCTCGAGGGAAAATGTTTTTTGATGTCCTCTAAAGGAATAGGAGAACCCAATTTGATAACTTACCACTTCAGGAAGGCTTCGTCGCTGCTGATTCGGAGCAGATCTCGAACGTTGAAGAAGGACATGTTGACGGAGAGTAGACATGGTTGGGGGTTAGTTTATAGAGAGGGGTTAGTAAAAAAGGAGTGAATCTGACGAGGTTGGAGAATCTGGATCCCTTTATACCCTCTTATCAATGTTCCTAATCTATATGGAACGATTTGGAAGGAAGGAACACGTTTGAAATAGAACAGTTTGTTAAATTGGAAAAAATACACTATCCCAATTTCAGTAATCGCGAATGCAATACTTTACAAATCAAAATTACAGTAATCCATCCACATGTGAAACTAGAACAAACTACAGTAATCCATCCGAATGTGAAAGGAACGACTTAGAAGATGTAGATTTGAAAGTAATCCGAATATGAACTTGTTCAAATCAAAATTGCAATAATCAACAAAAATGTGGAACTTTTTTAAACTACAGTAATCCATCAGAATGTGGAAGGAACGGCTTGGAAGATGTAGATTTGAAAATTACAATAATCTAGTTACAGTAATCCTGTCCGATTCTGTTTATTTGAACAGAAACTACAGTAATCCGAATGTAGAAGAGGTTTGAAAAGTTTATTAGGCTGAAATTCAAAGAACAGAAAAAAAAGAAAAGAAATTGAGATTTTCTTAAATGGCAGGTTTTCGAATACAACAGAGATAACTGTCGGTGGTGGATGATGGAAGACAAGTGTAGCCGAATGGACAGCTGAAAAATTTTGTATAGGATTTTTTGTTTTCATTGTTTATAAGATTTTTTTTAGAATCATAGCTTTTTGGACTACGGTATGCCCTATGGTTCCGATGGACCGAAATTCCAAAGTTCCGAAAAGTTCGAATTCCGATATTCGGAAAATCGGACTTTCCAACTTTTCGGCAAATTCCGAAGATTCTGAAATTTTCGACTTTTCTAAAAATTCGGAACTTCGAAGTTTTGAAAATCCGAAACTTGTGAAATCGGAATCTTCCGAAATTCAGAATATTCGAAACTCGGAATTTCCGCCATTCCGAGCATCCCGGTCAAAACTCACTCCAAAGAGAACAGCGTCAGACACCGTTGAACTTCTTCGTTTCCATTTTTTGAGGGCATATAGGAAAATGGACACGAAGGCTGAGCAATGATTTCTTCTGGTTCTTCTGTTGACGTCGTCGTTGGAGCAGACGTTATCATTGGGATATGTGGTGGAAGAAGGCGATTTAATTGATTGGATTGGACTGAGCAACAGACGAAGACGTCGTCGATATCAGATTCCTGGCAAGTGTAGCCGGCACGAAGACAAGGGTCCCCGAGACGGAGACACATGTATGGGAGACCATTTTCCATTAGTGGACGGGAGTCTGCATCTTGGCAGTTTGGTCTGAAAATGCATTTCTGAATCCTGAATTCTTGAAAATCTGGAATCCTAGAGTCCTAGAATCCTAGAATCCTGGTAGCCTGAAATCCAAGAATCAAAGTATTTTCTAGAAATCCTGGATTCTAGGTTTCTAGGGTTCTATGATTCCAGAATTCTAAGATTCTTGATTTCTGGAATTTCTGAAATTAAAATTTAGTATTCCTAGAATTTAGGTTCCTAGAATCGTAGAATTCAAAAATCTAAGAATCCAAGAATCTTAAAATCCTAGAATCATTAAACCCTAGAATCCCAAATTCCCTGAAACCCGGAATCCCAGAATTCTAGGATCCTAGAATCCTGAGATCCCATGAGAGATTCTTGGAAACCCAGAATAATAAAATCCGAGAATCTTCAAATGTTAGATTCCCAGAAACCCAGAATCCTGGAATTCTGAAATGCTAGAATTCTGGAATCCTAGAATCCTGAAATCTTAGGATCCAAAAATCATGAATCCCAGGACTTCGAAACCCCAGGATCCCAGAATCTTTGAATCCTAGAATTCTAGAATCCAAGAGCCCTCGAATATCTTAGAGTTATGAAATGCTAGAATCCTGGACTCCTCGAATCCGGAAGTCCTAGAATCCCAAGATTTTGATATCTTAAAATCCCAGAATCCTAGAATCTAAGAATCCCAAAATTCTGAATTCTCGAAAAACTCACACAACTTCAAACGGAAATGGCTCCTGTGTGGTCGTCGTCGTTGTTGGGATCATTGTAGTCGTGGTGAAGAAGAATGGAGGGGGAATTAGAGTTTTTCGATTGCCCACTGAAAAACCTCATTTTGAACTATTGGTTTATTCAATTAGAATTATGGAACCCCAGAATCCTAAAACTTTAGAATCCTAGAATCCTTAAAATCCAGAATCCTAGAATCCTAGAATCGTAGAACCTTAAAAATCAGCGTTCTTACATCTTGATCGGTATCTTTTACAGCAAACATGAGCGGTTTTGTCTTTGTTGATCTCACAAAGTGCTCCTTGAGAGCACGCTGGAAATGCTGGGTCGCATTTTTCGCCGGTGCTGAAAATTAATTTTTCATAGTCGAATAGTACAAAATGGAGTTATGGATTTGGTTTATAATCCCAGAAAGTTCCAGACTAAACGAACAAGAAGTACCGTATTTCCACTAATGAAAGCCCACCCAACTTTGAGATCATTCATCTCGGTTCCTGTAAAATATGTCAAAAACATTTCAACTGATAAAGTATTTATCATAATATTGGCAACATTTTATCAGTTGACAGCTTTTTGATGTCTTTGATATTAACCGAGATAAATTGTCTCAAAGTTGACAGGATCAGGCCCTTCGATTACCGGTCTTACGGTACACAGACAGTCAAATTCGACCAAATCCTATAGTTTTTGTCGGTTCCCAAATTTGAGAATTTTTAACCAAACTCACCTTTGTCCTCCATCCCTGCAAACATATTCATTTCTCTTCACAAAACCAATAGTTTCATCTGGACAACACCACATCTCATTTTGAATTTCCGTGCATTTCTCATTTCTTAAACATCCCGCGGCACAAACAGATCTCGCTAATACTCCAGATGGACATCTAGCCATGGAACAACATACTCGAAGGCCAGATGGAGTCAAGGAGCATTCGTAGCTGAAATATATATATATAAGTCAAGGAGTCGTAGCGAGACCTGTATTTGAAGGACCGCCCCTTCTATTGTTCCAATGTACCTCCGGAGAGCCCTTCTACTACAGGAGCTCTTCTTTTTGACAAGGCCTTTCTGCTACAGGTTTTACAGTAGTTGAAAAATATAATGTTACCCCTTCCCACAAGGCTTCTTATCGCAGTCTCTCGGAACCATTCCATCCATAAGAACTTGACTTCCTGGACCACAGATATCATCGGAATTCTGACAGCAGACTTCTACGTTGCTCGTTCGAAACTTGGCACAGACTCTGAAAATATATGCTACAGTAATCCTACAGTAATCCCGTTCTCCTCACCCTTGCACACAATCCTTACAAAGTACCAGTGACTTCCCGTCATGGGCAACAATTGGATGAGATTTTGGGCATATTTGGGAGGAATCTGGCGGGAAAGACCTCACTGGCTTCTCGATTTTCATTGACATTGTAGAAATTGTGGCGACTTTGGATTTGGAAATTGGGAAACTTCTGGAACGGGGAACTTTTAAAAATAAATCGGACAAATACAAACTTTTCAATGTTGCTTTTTGACGAGCAGCAAATATGCATTCCATCTTGACTGCTCGAAACACACAGAGAATTTTCCGGACAGTTGTTTTTGACGTTTGGAAGACATGGAAAACCGGTGGAGGTTCTGGAAAATGAGAAGAAGTAGACACTCTAATAGAATGACCCCATTTTTCAGCTTTGAGCCAATTTATCTTGGCTCCTGTAAAAGGTAACAGTTATCAGTCAACCAATAAAATGTTTATCATAAGATCGTGAATATTTCGTCATTTTGACCACTATTTGATACTTTTCCCAGGAACTGAGATATATGGGCTCAAAATAGACGGTTGGAGGGCATTCTGTTACGGTATGGACATTTCTTAAATTGAAATCCTTGGAGGTCTACAAAAGTAATTCAAAATTTCCCTATTGTTCTGAAATTTTGTAAAAATACATAACAAAAAAAGAGCTCCGATTTTGTAGTTGACAACTGTTTTGTACAAATTTATACTAAAGAGATATGGAACCAAACCCAGCGAAAAGACTCTAATAGAGTGCCATCCAAGCCATCAACTTTAAGCCCATTTGTCTTATTTCTTGTGAGAGTTATCAAAAAGTGGTTAACAAATAAAGTGTTCATCATAATATCAAAAATATTTTATCAGTTGACAACTTTTTGATGTCTTTTACAGGAAGCTAGATAAATAGGCTCAAAGTTGAAAGTTTGGAGTAATTTTTTTAACGAGTGGATTTGGGAGCAGCGTCACTTCCAAGGTATTTGCTTGTCTTGAAAGAACCGGTACAAGAAAGTTCGCAAATAAAACATATCCTTTTTCTGAAACTTTCAGAAAAGTAGAACAGTTTTAACTTTTTTAGGCATTCAAAAATTACACAACGACAACTACCGTAACCTAAAACACTACCAAAATTGTTTATTTTTTGACCTTTTTTAAAGGAAGACTGGACGAAAAGGAGTGAAAAACCATGAATACGAAAAATACAACTATTTTTAGGTTACGGTAGTTGTAGTTGTGGGACCTTCTTATTTCTTTTACCGGAATGATAATTTTCAGGGACCTCCTCAAAAATTTCGTTTACTACAAAAATGAAAGTATTTTCTCGATTTTTCATGCAATTCTTCATAAATAGACTTACTTCCTTACTACCGTATTCGCTCTGATAGCCTTTCCTATACGCGCACTTCAAGCTCAATTATCTCGGTTTTCATGAAAGATATCAAAAAGTCGTTAACTGATAAAATATTGGTTAAATTATGATAAATAATTTAATAGTTGACCACTTTTTGGTATCTTTCATGGCAACCGAGATAATTAGGCTTAAAGTGCTAGTGTAGAGTGGGCATCTGTGTTAGAGCAGATACGGTAATTTGGTTACAAAAACAAAACTTATTTGAATTTATCATAGACTTTAAAGCTTAAAAATCACATTTTCGTACCAACTCACCTATAAGACGGATGCCTACACTGTGGAGGTGGTACACAACAGATTCCCTTATAACACATTGCTCCTAAAGGACACAAATTCGCACAAGTCTTTACAGTTTTCGAGCTGGTTAATGGTAGCTGACCAGTCGGACATAAATCCTTTAAATATTCATAAATTGGAGAAGCCAGAGCTTCTGAATTAATCCGATTAATTAGTAGTGCAATTATCAGAAGTGTTGCAACAGTGTTCTTCATTTCTGAATTTGTGTGAAATGACCCGAAGAAATGAGTGAAGGGGGAAAACACGAAGACGTGACGACGCCTTCTGTATCGGATGTTTATTTTAGCAGCCTGTTCAAACATTTTCACATACAGTAGTTCCCATTAAAGACACTTTTAGGCTAGTTTTCGAATTAGAAAGACCAGTTTATTGTTTCGATTGAATCCATAATTAATAACGAGATGATTAGGATGGTGACCATAAATAAAGGAAAAAAACCAAAAAAAATTAAAATTCTAGAATCTTCTCTCTACAACTCCTTCTTCTTTCCTTCTGGCTTCTTTGGCTTCAGCTTATCTCCTCTCTTTGTTTCTGGAATATCAACTCCGAAGTGTTTCAAAACATCTTTCATCGAGTTGAGGATATCAGCTGGAGATGAGTAGTAGTAGGCGTAGTTCTTGTATTCAGCCTTCTTGTTCTTGAATTCTGGAAGGAGGTCTCCATTCTTGTCGAGGAATAGAAGACGTGGAATGTATTTCCCATCTGGACGGTACTCCTCCTCGAATGGCTCATCGTCGTCTTCAGTGTTGACCATGACGAAGTGCTCGGAGAGCTTCTTGAAGGCTTTCTTGGCGTTGGATTGTTGGAATGTCTTTTTGAGGGCTGAAAATAAATTTTTTGAGTTAAAAGTTTCGAGTATTTCAAGTAGATTATAAATTACAAAAGTTCTAGAAAACTCCAAAAACAGAATTCCTTTTTTGAAATCCCGAATCCTATACAAAATCCGGAAAATTAAAATTTTTCAGTCGAAATCCCTCTACTTTGAAAAAAAATAGGATTAGTTTAAAATTTCTGTTAATTCACAAGTATGCCAAGCAAACAATCGAAGCTATAACTTTTATGCATACGCCGTAAAACCTGTAATAGAACCCCCCCCCCTCCCCACCGTCAACTTTGAGCTCAATTATCTCATTTCCTGTGAGAGATATCAAAAATTGGTCAACTGATAAAATATTTATCATAATATCGCCAACGTTTCATCAGTCGATAAATTTTTGATATATTTTGAAGGACGCGAGATAATGAATCTCAAAGCTGATCTTACAGTATTTCCTCTAATGGAAGCCTAAACCCACTTTGAGCTCAATTATCTCAGTACCTGTAAAAGATATCAAAAAGTTAACAACTGATAAAAAATTGTTGCTATTATTATAAAGATTTTATCAGTTCGCAGGTTTTTGGTACCTGGAACCGAGATAATTGAGCTCAAAGTAAATGGTTTGGGTTCTTTTAGACGAAGTACAGTAGTTCAAAATCTTCAGGCTTCCGATTTTGATAACTTTCAATTGAAAATCCGCAAGTCATAGACTATGAAATTCCTGAATCTTCAAGAGCTTGAGTTTTCAATTTAAATGAAATTTTTGAATTTGTGATTTTTGTCCATTTCTATACTTGAAAATTCGTATGTTTTCAGGATGCAGAATTCAATAGAAATTGAATGCTTGAAATTTTTTTATATTTCAAAAATTGTATTTTCTTGTCTAGACTACAGATACAAGACTCTAATTTTTCTTTTTTTTTCTCCAAAAACAAAAATCCGTTATTTTTCTCTTTTAATCCAAACTCCAAAGTCCAATATATTCGTTTTATGTCTGCCTGACGGGCGTTCCTCTTCTTTTTCTTCACCGCATTAATAAACGAAAGTGTGTCAAGGATGAATGAGAATTCCCGTGGAGAGAAGAATAAGACCAAGGAAATGACGGCCTTCTTGGAAGTTTTAGGCGATTTCACTATGAATCAGATGCAGGAATACAGTTTAGAAAATGCGCTCTATTTAGAAAAAGTTGTGAAAAGGTTACTGAAGGATTACTGTACTTACCCTTGCAAGCATGGCACCAAGACTTGTGAATCAACAAGAAGATTGGCTTATTGGTATCCAGAGCTGTTTCGATGGCATCCTCCCACTTAATCCACGCGATGTCGTCTCCGAATCCACGTGCCAACGGATTCTGGATGGAATCCTTGATTTTGTCGAAACTGGCGTAAGCCGTCGCACTCACAAGTGCCAAGAGGAGAAGAGATCTCATCTGGAACGTTGTTTTAGAATTCTTAGAAGGTGTTGAAAAACTAGAAGACGTTAGTTTAAAAGAAGTTACTTCAGAAGACATTTTTTTAATCCAAAAAAGGTCCACCCGAGGCAGCCAAGTTTGAGCTCATATATCTCGGTTACTAGGAGATATCAAAAAGTGGTCAACTGATAAAGTGTTGGCGATATTATGATAAACATTTTATCAGTTGACCACATTTTGTTATCTTTGACAGCAACTGAGATAAATGGGTTCAAAGTTAAAAAGTCGGCAGCCTGCCGCGTAACTCAGCCGGCTTGTTGACTTTGAGCCTCTATATCCCGGTTACTGTAGGAGATATCAAAAAATGGTCAACTGATAAAATATTGCTGATAATATGATAATCATTTTGCCAGTTAACAACTTTTCAATATCTTTTACAGTAACCGAGATAATTGAGATTAAAATTGGATGCATCTTTGACGTCTTCTAAGGAGACGTGGACCAACCAGCCAAGAGAAAAAAGAAAAATGAAAGGGAGAAGAAGAGGTGATATGGAAGATCAAGATATTGAGGTCGTTACTGCCGGACTGCAAAAAACGGTCAGGGTCATTTTGGAGGATAAGGCAGGAAGATAAGGATCGAGAGGATCAGAAATCAGATTACTGTAGATGATGATGCCGTGGATTTCTTTTTGGGTTACAGTTTTTGGTTCCTGCAGATCCACAAACCGACAAAACTGAAATTCAAAATTCAGATTTTCCGACAACTTCGAATTTTTAAAATTCGGAAGTAAAATTCAGAAGCTTCTAGAAAACGAATCCATAAAACCGGCATCTTATTTGGAGAATAAGGCGAAGAAAAGCATTCAAAAGTCGAAATGACCAATTCTCCCGATGTCTTCTTCCCTTTCTGATGAGTTGGAAGAAGGCGTCAGAACAGGTTCTCGAAACGAGAGACGCTACGTCTCTCGATATCCCACGATCTCTCGAAAAACGGAGAAGGAGGAAGAAAAAAAAAAGAAGTGAAGGATTGTAATGTACACGTCGACTAACAGGATGAGAGATACGGTAAAGTGTGATGCAGTGTGTGTCATTTATTAGTGAATGTTAATAAAGCAATTAGCATAAAGAGACATGGGGAAAGGGGAGCATTAGATACATATCACAGCAAACAATATACCTAAAACATCCTAAAAAATCTAGAAACTCTATTCCGACATTGACGACTTTCTTCCTTTCATCGTATTCATCAGAATCCTCGACATTCTCCGAATTTTTCCTCCACTTTTCGTCCCAGAAGAATTCGTATCCGATGGCGACAGAATCTCTCCACCTTCTGCACTCTCCATCAGTGCCAAATCAGCGCTGGCCGCAGGTGTTAATGCTCCATAGGAAGAATGAGAGAATGCTTTATAGATGGAGGCGTCACGGGCTTGGAGAATCGAATTCATTTGACTGTAGATTTCATCCACTTCTGGTTTGAACACAGTTTCCACTGTCACACTTCGCCACTTCTCCTCATTTTGATAGAGCTGGAATCAATGCTTATTTTGCTGCTTGATGAGCGCTCTTACCTTTGCCACGTGTCTCAAATTCCATTCATCGTCTCCGACCACCTTCTGAATCATTTCCTCACCCAACACCGGCAACCAGAAGATCGTAATTTGCCACGTGTCAACTCTTCCATCTTTGGCGTCTTTCAGTTGCACTCGGACTCCGCCCACATACTCCCACGGAACTTTTGTCTGTTTTTGATAGCCTTGCGGTAGGAACGCCGACTTGTTCACTTGATATTTGTCGACTTCGAAGCACGTCCAGCGGAGGACTGTAAAACAATTTCTGGTACAAAATCGAAGATGTGGCCATGGCCGAAGGTCCCACAACGACAACTACAGTAGCTTGAAAATGTTATTTTTTTAATTTAATTTCTGAATTTCTGGATTTCCAAATTTCCAAATTTCGGAATTTTCGAATTTTTTAAATTTTTGAATTTCCGAATTCCTGGATTTCTGAATTTCTAGATTTCTGGATTTCTGAAAGTCTGAATTTCTGAACCTTTTGATTTTCTGAATTTTCAAATTTCTGAATTTCAGGATTTTTGAATTTCTGGATTTTCGAATATCCGAATATCCGAATTTCTGAATTTCTCGATTCCTGGATTATTGGATTTTTGGATTTCTGCATATCTCAATTTCCGCATATCTGAAATTTTAAATTTTTGAGATTTCTGAATTTCGGTAATTCTGGATATCCGAATTTCTGAATTTTCAGGTTACTGTAGTTGTCGTTGTGGGACCTTTAAAACTAACTTAGTCTCGCTTTCCACTTTGGCTTGAATCTATGAACTCTTTGAACAATAAACGACGACAATTGACCACCTCCATCATTCCAAGTGACAGCAGGAGACGAAACTGAAGATCTTGATTTTTTAATACCTATACAACCCCTACCCCCCCCCCCCCTTCTCAAAAACTCACCTAAAGCCCCATTACTATCCTCCTTTGAAATCCCCGTTACACTAATTGGCCTTCTTTCCTCTTGCTCCATCACTGTTGGCAACGGAGTTGAAGGTCCCGCCGCGATCGGACTATTCGGCATTTTCAAGGTTAGCATTGCGCTCATTTGACGGCCATACCGCCCGCCACGTGGATGGAATCCAGCTCTGGAGCTGTTCTTCTGAATCATCACGAATTCCAGACACCTGGCACTGGAAATGCTTGCTTCTAGGTCTAATTTAACGTCGAAAGTATCGACGGCTTCTAGGAAATACTCCTTGATTTCTAGAATTCCCTCAATCGCCTCCTTTTCTTTCATCGTCTCTTCTCGTAGCCGAAATGCTTCATCTCTCAGCCATCGGAGGGGTTTCTCCATGTTATCCACCTCTATCACATACTGATCTTTGTCGACGAACCACACGGCTACTGCCTTTTTCTGTCGTTTCGCTCCTCCACGCTTCTTGACTCCGGAAACCAATCCAAGGCAGTTGAATCCAGTTTCAGAGACGAATTTCGAGCCTTCCATGGGTGGGAAATCGTCGTCGATGGTGTTTGTGTCCTCATCGGCCATGTAGAGATGGTAGTCTTCCACATTGCCACTGGAAAAAGTTGCTTTTTTTGGGACGCTTCTTAAATTTTTATTCATTTTGTATATCTAAAAAAAATCCATGTTTTTCGAGATATTTTTCAGGTTTAAACTCAGAATATCTCAAAAGCCTGAAAAAATCAATTTAGTTTATTGTTCCTTGATTTTCAGTGTTTTTTTAAAGTTTTTTTTCAGATTTTTTGAAATATTTGTCAATTTTTGCCTAGAAAATCTCGAAAAACATCGAAAAATCTGAAAAAAAACACTAAAAATCAATAAAAATTGAAACAAAAACAACAATTTCGTACTTGATTTTTGTTCTCGATTTTCAGTTTTTTCAGGTTTCCCGAGGGAGATATTATGGGAGGAAAATCAAAAATTCGACAACGAAACTTTCGTCAAAAAAAGGCAAAAATTAAAAAAAAAAACAAAATTTTTCAGATTTTCAGGTTTTTTTTCGAGATATTCAACTTCGTAAAAAATCGTTTTTCAATGCATTTTTCTCAATGAAGAATGTTTTGTTTTTCCTTCATTTTTATGTGAATCTACATGATTTTCTGCAGAAAATATGAAGCAATAAAAAGTGTAGAAAAGCTCAAAAACGCTGTGAGACGACCCTGTTTTAGCTTCATGAGCTTTCAGATTCACCGTTACTTACGGTAAAAACTCATCGAACATCAAAAAATGCTGTAACAACACATATCCAACGACTTCCCGGAATCTCGCCGACAACATTACTCTCATTTCTATCCTTCTCGGTTCCTCAGAACCCTTCGGAATCACAATAATCAGTTCCCGCGATGGATCTCTATCCGAAGCTCCATACTTTAAATATTGACCTAACGGATTATTCAAACTATCCGCATTCTCTTCCAGGTACTTTTCAACAACCGATTTCGCCTCTGGATCTCTATCTGGTAAGGGCCAAACGGTTTCCTGTTTCACAAATAGCTCATCAAGAGGTCCAGTGTAGAAATTATCCTTTTTCGACTCCTCTTTTATTTTCTCTGCTGTCCGAAGAGCTAGCGATTCGTTGATAACCTTCCGAGAGTGAATTGGCTCTTCATACAATGGGATCTCATAGATGTCATCGAAACCTCCGTTTTCCAGCACATGAAAACCTTCCTTTTTCTGCCTAAAATCCAGTGGAAGTCCTCCGGATCGGACCCTTCTTGATGGACTCATTAGAACTCTAGAGCACATGTTGTAGCCGTCGTCGTCTTCCATGCGCATCTCATGTCGGATCACATTCAGAAGCTCTTCCCTCTCAACGTGCCCCATTCTGTGAATTTTTGGAATTGTCTAGATTTTGAGAGGGGAAAATAAGGGGGACGATGATAACTCACTCTGCTGAAACAGGCTATAAACAATACAATTGATTCATCAATCAGAGATTCTTCATGAGGTGGCCGGGGAGTGTACAGTGGTACGCTTTCAAAGCAAAATCCTTAACAACCAAAAAAAAAAGAATAAATTAAAAACAATTAATCTGAATCCGACGACGAATCAGATGATGACGATGACGACGATCCGGAACCAGATCCAGAATCAGAAGAAGATGAGCTTGACGACGATGAGGATTCTCTTCGTTGTCTCTTCTTCCCCTTTTCAGGAGAACCATTTTGGACTTCAGCTTTCTTGGCTGGTGTCGCTTCAGAATCACTGAGAACCTCTTGCTTCACTTCGAACTCCTCCTGAAAAAAGAACTTAGAAAAATGAATAAAAATCTCAAGGTTCTTACCACTCTCGATTTCTTTGTGGCCACTCGATCCTCGTCATCAGATGAATCATAACGACGTCTTCTCTCCACACTTTTACTTCTTTCTCTATTATTGCCACGTCTTCTATCTGCACTTCTGGATCGTTCACGACGTTCAGCTCTTTCTGGAGATCTTCTACGACGATCTTCTCGATCAACGGATCTTCTACGCTCGTGTCGAGCAGGCGATTTTCTGCGATCTTCTCGAACTGGTGATCTTCTACGTTCCTCAGGAGATCTTCTGCGATCTTCTCGAACTGGTGATCTTCTACGTTCCTCAGGAGATCTTCTGCGCTCTGTTCTTTCTTCTGGAGATCTTCTACGCTCTTCCTGTGATCTTCTGCGCTCTGTTCTTCCTTCCGGAGACCTTCTACGGTCTCGACGCTCTTCTGGAGATTTTTTGCGATCTTGGCGTTCCTCTGGAGATCTTCTGCGATCTTGGTATACTTCTGGAGACCTTCTATGACGCTCGTCACGTCGATCTTCTCTGGATCTCTCTCTTCTTCTATCCCCACGATCATTACGTCTACTGTCGTCCCTTTTGGTCTCGGCACGCTTTCTTGTTTCTTCATCACTAGATTCTACCTCTTCCTTGATCTCTGAAGCTGCCAGAAGTTCCTTTTCTTTCCGTCTCAGCTTTTCTCGCTTCTCTTCTCTCTCCTTCAGCTTTCTCTTCTTCTCCTTGTTACGCTTCTTGCGACGCTTCTCCTTTTCATCCTCACTAGAAGAAGACGAGGATGAACTCTCCGAGTCCGAGTCAGAATCAGAAGACGAATCGGATGATGATGAGCTGGAATTCTTTCTCTTCCTCTTAGACTTCTTCGC